ACATACCGGAATCAGCCATAATAAAATCTTTTTAGTGTAGAAAGCTTGTAGATATTATTTCTCTCACTTCACCCATTTTATTCTCTTCACCAGAACATATGGGAAAATCTGATAAAATATATTGTGGGTAGAGAGAGGACAATTCCTACGTGCATATAAACAATTATCCTACTCCCCATAAAAGTAGTCACAAGGAAATAACTTCCCCTTTCTCATTGTAACTGTGCAACCATGCATTTCAATTTCAAAGCCAATAACCACCTTATGGCATTAACTCCAAATAATGTCCATATTACCCTTGTTCATGTAGGACATATTTTAACATCTATCTCTTTCTTTCATCCTCTTCCCCAATTAAATTGAACACAAAACTTTGCTCGAGTTTTCTCCGCCCTTTTTCGCACTTTTCTCCTCTCAATTTCACCGTTTTTCTCACGCATCACTCTTTATCTCCCCCTTTTCCGTTCTTTTTGTCTCCCCATGAGCAAAGACTTGTAGAGAATGGTCCATTGTCATTATATTGAGAACTTTTCTGTAATATCTATGAAGTAGTTTAGTTGATAATGTACATGGCATAGAGAATTTTATCTTGCAGCACTCAAGACCAAGAGTTAGAGAGTGGAAATCCTAGTGAGACTGTATAACATTACTCTATCTCTTACTTTGAGTACTGAATTAACACTTCCTTTCCAGAATTTCTAGAATGTGTTTTGTACATAATTTAAACAACCATCCTAGTAAAAAAAAAATTTAAAAACACAAATGTTTTACTAAGAAGGCAATTGTGATTTGTCCCTCTTTATCAATAAAAAATACAAATAGACCAAAATTTTTAATTGTAACGTTCATATAATACAATCAATTATATATTATATTCACGATAATCATGTTTACCGCACAGTATTAAAGGTTTTAAGAGCAGCATGCCTATCCAAAAAATAAAAAATAAAAAAATAAAATAGCTTTTAGCAATGCAAAATATGCTAGAGTCTAGACAAATACGACAAACAAAATTTATGTTCATATTATTCAATCTCCATCATAGTCAACATAATTAATACATTATTTTATTATTATTATTATTATTATTTATTTTTTTTGGTGACCACAACATATCTAGAAGAAATAAAAGATTTTCTTGGTGACAATAATATGTGTTTGGATTATATTAGGTAATTTTCTACTTTTAGTTTCTTAGGTTATTCGAATTTCGACTATTTGGGTTATAGTAAGATTTTTCATTGTAAGGAGGCTGTTGAATTGACTATAGTATTTTTTGAAAGGAAAAAATTCACAACTCAAGTTTTATCTATCCCAAAATCAAAAATCAGATCCCAAAGTTTACAATTGCAAAAATCAGGTTTTTCATAACTTAATTAATTATGAGTGTGTTTGGTAG